ATGTTGCTGCTGATCTGTTTCATGTTGTTGCTGAGCTGTTTCATGTTACTGCTGATCAGTTTCATGTTACTGCTGATCAGTTTCATGTTGCTGCTGATCTGTTTCATGTTGCTGCTGATCTTGTTTCATGTTGCTGTGTACATTCGTGCTCATCTGTTCACACAGACTCATGTCCGTGCTGCTGTTCGGCGTATTGTGTTTAATGTTTTTGTGCTGTTAGTGCTTAGCATATATTTAGTTGATGTTTTTCTTAGTTCATATCTTAGATCTTATTACTGTTTTTCTTTTACATTTTATTGTTGGATGTAACTGGGACCCTGTGAACATAATTTTGATCCACTACATGTGGTGCGAATGACAAAGAATATCTGTATAATACTTTCTGATTCATATATCCATTGATATTATTTTCATTATTTTTGAATCAGTTTTTTTTTTTCATTTTCTTATTTTATCAGTTTCTTATTATTAATATATCTATTATAGCTGTTAGCTGCACCTTTCTTTGTTTTATGTATTTATTCAAAAACAGTATGTAGCTTGAATTAACCACCTGTTTCTTCTTTCTAGTGAAGAGAAAGAGAAAAGAGTCCAGTAAAGAAAAGTCTTATTTCATCAACAAAATCCATGCTCAATAATCCAGATATACAATCCAACATTTTTCAGTCAGGTCATCTGGACAGTTTCTTTTTTTTTTGTGCTGAAACGTTTCACCTTCCATCCAGAAGGCTTCATCAGTCAAGGAAACACACAACAAAACTGATTCTTCCCCCAACAGCTTACTCCAAAGTGGAACAAACCAGTTCTGCTTGTGATAAGATGGTCTCTTTGGTACACCCCCTCCTCCATTGCACGCCCTCTTCCTTGTTGACAGTTTTGTCAAACTGGTTGAAAACTTACTTTTTTCCATCACTGAATGAACATGAAGAACTGAAGCGGACACAGCAGGAACAACACTTGTGTCTTCTTCTGGATGAAGCCCGTGAGACAAGGGACACACAGATACACAATCATTAGTTGGACGCAGTATTTTTTATTTTTCTACATTTTTCACTTCTTACTTTTCCTATTAAACATTTTTTTTCTTAAGTGGTGTCCTTGAACATTAAATTTCCTAAACAAATTTTACAAAGTTATGTTCATATAGTGTTTGTTTAAATCCATACTGGAAGTTGAGAAGAATTTCCACTTTCATTTGATCTTTAATGGATCCTAAGAAAAGATTACCAGAATCTGCTCAACTGTTATTATGTTATACATTTTTGGTTCTAGGATGAAGTGACACAAAAACAGTCAAAAATTCAGAAAGGACAGTTATCAGTTATCGTCCGTACAACTGTGGCCCGAGAGATTCAGCTGAAAGTCCTGGTGCACCTTTTATTTGAACCTGCAGAGATTTGAACAGCTGATCTGAAGCAAACAGGCAGGAGTTCAACTGAACTGACCACTCCTGCTGTTTGATGGTCTCCTCCTTCTCCATCCATCCATCCATCCATCCATCCATCCATCTTCTGCTTCCGTGTCGTGGGGGCAGCAGCTTTACCAGGGAGGCACAGACATCAACATCCACCTCTTCAACTTTTCTAGGAGGACCCCCAGATGTTCACAGACCAACTGACTATTTAATAAGTAATATCCTGATGCTGCTCAATAATCCAGGTAGAAAAATCTAAAAAAAGTTAAGTCTTGTCCTCTGGACATTCACAAAACAAACAATAAATTTTATAATAAATAAACAATACATTATTTTTTTGTTTGTTTGTTTTGTTTTTTGAATGTCCAGAGGACCAGACTTAACTTTTTTAGATTAATAAATAATACATTTATGATTTAAATTTAATAAAAGACAAACCTTTAAAATTTAAGGACAAAATCTAATTGTTTTCAAGTTTGTAGTTTATTGTAAAAGCAGTTTCAAAGATTACAGCACAGTGTGATGTTTTGCAATTTTAACATGAACCTTGTGCATATCTGTAAATAATAAAAGTGAAGATATTTAGTGAAGATATTTTCGCCACCACTCCCCCCCCAAAAAAAACAAAAAAAAAAAACATCTTTATTGTAAAAATCTATACTAAAATGTAAAACACATGGGTTTAAAGCAGCAGGAAGGCAGTAAGGTAGGATTATGAATCAGGTTTAAAAGTTACAGCTCATGAGGTACTCCATTAGAGCATGACATCTCTTCCACAACATCGTGTGACAAAACCTTCAGGGTGTTCTTCTTCTAATAGTTTAGTGGTGGCTAGTAAGTAGCTTAAGGGAGCACTACCGCCACCAGGTGGTAAGACGAGTTGGATTCTGGACCCCGCCTACAGAGCCGGTCCAGAAGTGTAAATGGAAACACGACGACACACGAGCTGATCTGAGCTGACCTGATCCGCACCGTAACAGTGGAAAAGTGGCATAAACGTTTGTTTATGCACAAACAAGGCAATGAGCTCTGAGGGTGGTCCAGAGTTCCGATGGTTTCTGTGTCGGTCTCCACAGGTTCTGATACTCCACACCAATGAGCTGAGGTCTCTGCTGCCCATAAGATGTGACATCAGCTGTCTCTCCACATTAAAGGTAAAATAAGACTTTTACTTGACCAGTCCGGTGTAGGACAGTCCAATGGACTGGTCCGGTGTAGGACAGTCCAATGGACCGGTCCGGTGTAGGACAGTCCAATGGACCGGTCCGGTGTAGAACGATTCAATGGACCGGTCCGGTGTAGAACGATCCAATGGACCGGTCCGGTGTAGAACGATCCAATGAACTGGTCCGGTGTAGGACAGAGAGTCAGAGCCAGAGAGTCAGAGATTCTTTATTGTCATTCGCACCTCATGTGGTACATGTGGTGGAGCGAAATTATGTACACAAGGTCCCAGTTACATCCAACAATAAAATGTATAAGAAAAACAGTAATAACATCTAAGATATGAACTAAGTCCAAGTCCATCTAAGACAGTCCAACAGACCAGCTTCCAAAACATACACGTCCTTTCACCAAACCTAGTTCAGTTTTTTGTTCTTTACATTGTCCCTCCAGGTTCAGATCCAGACTTTATTAATCCAGACCTCAATAATCTGGAGGTTTGAAGATCTGATGACACTTTGGGAGACTACCTGAATGTCTGGATCCTTGAGTCTGGATCGTTGGAGGAAAAATTAAAAATTTTTTTTGTCTTCAGATTCTGGTGTTCTTGTTTTTCTTGAAATTGATGTTGTCTTTCTGGTTCTGAAGGTTTTGGACCTTCACGATAACAAGCTCTCGACTCTCCCGGAGGACATGGGGAACCTGACGTCCCTGCAGGTAAAGCCCTCCTCACCAGGTGAATAGGAAGTGAATCCTGGCGTCTGCTGCTCGTCGTCACCGCTCACCTTTTTCTGTCAGATTCTGAATGTGGAGAAGAACCGCCTGAAGGTCCTGCCCGAGTCCATTGGGAACCTGCAGCTCCTGCAGACGCTCAACCTGAAGGGTAAGACGTTCACTTCCTGTTTGCTTCAGAGCAGAGGTGAGGTCATGTGACTCACCCCGCCGCTCCATCCAACAGGAAACTGTCTGACTGAGCTGCCATCTTCAGTGGGGTCTCTGAGCAGCCTGAGGACTCTGGACGTTAGAGACAACAATGTCCTGCAGCTCCCCAAAGCTCTGGGCTACATCCACACCTTGGAGGTGAGGCCTGGAAGCAGGAGCTCTGAATATTCTCCTTCTTGTTGTTTATTAATCCTGATTGTGTTGTTGATGTGGCAGAGTTTGACTCTGGATGCTGCAGCCATGACGTACCCACCTGCAGCCGTGTGTTCAGAGGGAACCGAGAGCATCCAGCGCTTCCTGTGCCGCGGTAAAGTTCCAACAGAAAGGTTCTGGTTCTGAGTCCAGGACGTTTCTGAAGCAGCCGTTCCCAAACCACAAAATAACAACAACAAACACTCATGGCCGCAAAACTCTAAACAAGTTTTCAGACTTTATGATTCAGATAAATAAACAGAAGTTAAATGGACAAAATAAAATGCCATTATGAGGCTTTTATTGATTTATAAGAAAATATGTTATATCTTTATTAGGGTTAAAGCAAAAAAAACAACAACTTTAATTAGAAATAATTTTTAACCCTCGGAAGTCTCACTGGGAAAAAAACAGCCACACATTTATTTTAGTTTTTATTAAATTTTTGGTGTTGTCAAGAAACACAACTGTTCCAGACAAAGTAAGACATTTATTTATTTTTTAATTTAAAATTTAATCACAATGCTTCTAACACGTCTCTAACCTCGCTGTAACGTTACCGCCCTCTAGTGTTCCTTCGGAGGGAAATCGACAATATTGAATTCTATGCTGGGGGGCGGGGGGTCCGAGGGTCGTCGAAATAAAAAAGATGCCATTTCCTGCATTCTGGTGTATTTTAACTGGTTGTTAAACATCCGTAAACATTTGATTAAACTGATTAAAAACAGGTGTCTCTTGTAAATGAGTCCTTGAGGCTCAATGAGACTAACCATTCATCCATCCATTATCTTTTACCCGCTTCTTCCATTTGGGGTCACGGGGATCGCCGGTGCCCATGTCTAGCAATCACAGTGCGAGGGGCGGGGTACACTCTGGATGGGTCGCAAGTCCATCATAGAAACAAACAACTATTCACTCTCTCACTCACACCTAGGGACAATTTAGAGTTACCAATCAGTCTAACATGCATGTTTTTTGTCTGTGGGAGGAAACCAGAGTACCCGGAGAAAACCCACGCATGCACGGAGAGAACGTTGGTTAAGTACTGTAACCCCAGATTCTATGAGTATAGGTGTAGCCCTTTAAGGCTGTCGCTGGTGGGTTTTATCCCGTCATGCAGGGCGGCTGTGGCTGAGTGGTTAGAGCAGTCGTCCTCCAATGCGAGAGTTGGGGGTTCGAATCCACCAGAAGTCACATGTTGAAGTGTCCCTGGGCAAGACACTGAACCCCTCATTGCCTCTGATGTGTGTCCCATCGGTGTATGAATGTGATCTAAAAGCACTGATTAGTCTCTTTAGAATGATTTGTTCAATTAGCTTTGTAGAGATCTAGTAGTGCTGTATGAATGGGTAAATGAGGACACAGATTGTAGTGTAAAGCGCTTTGAGTATCTTGAAATAAGATAGAAAGGTGCTATATAAGTACAGTCCATTTACCATTTACCATGCAAAGCATCGCACTGAAAAATTTATTCCACGCCCACCTGTTGTGTGGGCCCCACCTGGTTCGTATAAATTACGTTAAGAGTGGGTAATCGGCTCCCAAATAGCTTTTTCTTCAGCCATTTAGGAGCCAGTGAGGCCCAACGCTTAAAGGGCTACTCCTATACTCATAGAATCTGGGGTTACAGTACGTAACCAACGTTCTATTTTATATAGGCTTTGCCCTTTAAGAGCTGTCGCTGGTGGGTTAAGGGCGAAGCGGATGTAGTCCTTGCCTCACTGGGTCCATACGAACACCATACGAAGCGGCAGCTTGCCCAAAAACGTCTAGTCACTCAGCTCTCCATGTGCGTAATTACGCGTTGCGTAATTATGCGTACCATGCACAGACGTGTGCTGTGTAGTTATGCGTTCTGAGTGCATGAGCGCCCCGGAAAGCTTTCAACGGGGAAAGGAAGATGCTGAAAAAGCTGTGAACCAAACAGATTCACGACTGATCAATATGAACAGATTAATAATAACAAGTGAACTAATTATTAATCAAATTAACTGATTGGTAACAATAGTCATGAACTGATTAGTGACAATAAAACAAGAACAACAGTCACAACTTGTGACTGATAACAACATCTCACATTGTAATGCATGCAGTCAGATGTGAGTTTAACACTAGAAGTCCCAGGAATTTCGACCTCCCCCCAGAAGTCCTGAAAAGGGGTCAAAAGACCCTTAGCACTAGAGTGACTAGATTTTCAAGATCCTGAGGACAAACCCCCTCCTTCTCCTCAACAATTTGCGGGCCATTAACTGCCATTTGTTTTAAATATGCACACAAGTAACTCAGACACACCCACCTCACCAGACTGCACTCCAATGTCCAATCCAGGGAGCGGGGGATTTAGAAGCCAGGTTCACTTGCGCAAAAAAGCGCAGCCTTAGTCAAAGTAGTGCTCCAAACCGGACAACTCTGATGGCTCCAATTAGCATCCTTTCATTTGTAATTGTGGCCATTGCCTTAGGAATCAGCAGGGGTGAGATAAGCTGAACTCACACAAACGTCCGTCTAATACTCCAAACAGATGCGAAATCAATTGGTTATATTTTGAACTTATATCTCTTGGTGGCACGTTGGTGCACATTTTGAACAAATTGAAGTCGATTTACCGTTTATTTTTCAATTGGTTTGGCTCATTTCTTGAAACCGAGATGACATTCTCAAAACACCATGTGAAACACAACTCAAGAGACTTTGCATTTTGAGGTTACTGACAATTTGTATGAAACACATATTTTGTTTTGAAGCATTCATGAAGTGTTTTGGGAGAGATGCATTATCCAGGTCATTTTGCCAAATGAACAAAACAAAACAAAAGTTTGCAAAACATACAATCTGTTTCAAGATATATGCAAAAGTTTTTCTAAAAGATTTTAGAAATGTTTTTCTTTCAGAAAAAAGAGAAGTGGGTTCAAAATGACAGTTTAGAAAAAAATAACCAAATTAATTGTGAGAAGAAGGCACGCAAGGAGAAACTGCTTCAGCAACAACCTTCCACACCCAGCCCTGGCAAAAGAGCAAAGTGTCAGATCAAACATCGATGCACGAACAATTGTGCAACTGTGAGATGCGTCAACTGCTACAAATACACATGTGGCAAATGTACCAGGGACATACACTGGCAGTGCCAGGTATGTTTCGACAGTGCAGATGGACTGCTGAGTGAGTGCTGAAATGCCAGTCACACAAGGAGGACATGTCACTCACACACACGCAGCCCCCCCACTAGAGCATAGTGTAAATATGTGTAGAATTGTTTTATCCCTTGTATTTTTATGACAAAAATAAAAAGCATGGAAACAAATAACGGTTGTTGTTTTTTATATTTCTCATGCTGAAGTTTTAGTCCTCTTGACTTACACACAATTGCTTATGGTCTGTGCTTTTTTGCTCAAAACTAAGCTAAATACTATATATATCAAAACAAAATATGTGTTTCATACAAATTGTCAGTAACCTCAAAATGCAAAGTCTCTTGAGTTGTGTTTCACATGGTGTTTTGAGAATGTCATCTCGGTTTCAAGAAATGAGCCAAACCAATTGAAAAATAAACGGTAAATCGACTTCAATTTGTTCAAAATGTGCAACAACGTGCCACCAATATATATATAAAAAAATCTTCATATTATAAAATACAATAAACTGAATATAACTAACTAGAAACTAAATGGCTAAACTCAATGGAAAACAGTTAGTTGGGAGTTAAGCGTCCTGTGGTGCACCAGTAATGGCCTTATTTACAAAACAAAAGCGCCTTTTAACAGCTCATTATAGGATGTTAGCTAAAATCCTTCAGGTCACTCGACCCGTCTCTGGGTTCCAAAGGTAGAAATGTTAAATGACCCTTCTCTGGGACTTCTAGTGTTAAACGAGGTTTCATGAAACAACAATATTCATTCTGTTTAAACATTAAGGACAGAATGTGTCATGGAACAAGCTGTCACATCACGTAGATAAAAACGAATAAATGAGCAGGGTGTTGACCACGCGGCCGCAGTGCAAATATCCTGCATTGTCATACCATTATGCAAAGCAGTCGAAGATGCGATGTCCCTGGTCGAGTGCGCCGTGAAGTTATAAGGAGGCTTTAAATCTGATGCTCTGTAGGCTTCAGAAATGGCCTCACACAGCCAGTGTGACAGGCGCTGGGTGGATAATCGGCGACCTGCAGATGCATCTCTATAATGCACACACAAATGTTGAGTTTGACGCATTGCGGCTGTGCGCGCTATGTAGCACGTCAATGCCCGCACAGGACAGAGAAGATAGAAAGATGCTTCTTCTTCTGATTTGTGGGGGAAGGGAAAAAACCCTCCAGCGATATTGCTCTTGATTTAAAAGAGCTTGTGATGTTTTTAGGCATGAACGCTGGGTTAGGTCTCAGATTAGCTGAGCTGCCGTCAGCCTGAATTCTGAGGAGAGACAGAGAGGGCAGATAAATCACTCACCCTCTTAGCGGATGTTAAAGCCAGCAGCAGGGCTGTTTTAAGAGACAAGAATTTAATTGGAACCTGATTCATTGGCTCAAATGGAGCTTTGATCAGGGCTCGCAGAACCAGCGTTAAATCCCACTGTGGAGCAAGTGGGCGTGAAACAGGCCTGCGTCTCTGTACACCTTTTAAAAAACGCTTCATCAGCAGATGACTAAAAGCTGTTCTGTCCCCGAAACCTTTGTGACAAGAAGAGATAGCTGCAGCGTACGTTTTAATCGTGCTGAACACCAGATTTCTGTCCCATCAGCTGCTACAGAAAGGACAGTACGCCACCTAGTGGACATGAGGTGGCCTCTACACCTTTCTCTGTACACCAGCGCTGAAAAGCTGTCCACTTTGATGTGTACAGCGCTGTGGTAGATGCAGCACGTGAATCCTGGATTGTACGCACTACAGCTTGAGAGAGACCCATCCTCTCTAAGCGGATCCACTCAGCTGCCAGACCCAAAGGTGCTGGCCTATTTCTGGGTAACTCCTGATCGCTCCTCCCGCCTGGAGGAGAGCGTCCTCTCTCCACGGCAGTTTCCACGGGCGCCCCGATAACAGGCGTCGTAGAACCGGGAACCATGGTGCGTTCACGCGCTCGGGAGCCACCAGGAGAGCTGTCAATACCCCCTCCTGAACT